TATAAGCCGATTAAACGTGTCTCAATAATTAAGAGAGATCATTTCCATAGCGTTGATATGTTACCCGTTTTAAATCTTAAAATGTGTTTTAGTTAGCTTAGTCGCTTAGTCTATTTGTCCAGTTTGTGGCAATATATCCTTGTTGAAGCATACAGAGTAACTATAGAAAGCTTAGAACATGGAAAATAAAACATTTCACATCGATATACCACAAAAATGAGTTTTTTCAGTCACATAATACATATCGAGATTTTAAATAAATTTTTAAGGTTCTTAAAAACAAAACTCTATTATAGTATGTATTAGTAAGTATTGAAATAAGTAATTGGTTCGTTCGTTCGAGCATTTATATCCGGCACCGATGGATCTTTGTTCATTTGTTTTACTATCCTGGATATTTAAACTTCACAACTTAACCCTAAAACAATTCGTTTTAATTATTATGTTAACAATAACTCATTCTGAACAATCCTAAATCACGGGGTGGTTCAATATTACCTGGAGAAATTGTAAGCGTAAATATTTTATCACAACTCAAGTAGATTGTGGATGAAATCGAGGTACAATCAATATCAAGATAGACAGGCCCTGCTCCCACAACATACCTTAATCTGTCAGCCTTCCGCCACCTCCTTTCCCGACCTACCCCCATCCACTATTCAACTTCATAACGACCTCAGTGAAAAATGTGCTTCTCTATTTTTACAGTAGTTCTTAAACTTTGGTGTTTTGTATTTCTTACTATCCGACAGCTTTTGGTGTCGCCAAATTAATGTTTACTGTTTTCATTAAACAGTCTATATATTATATTATATTATATATCATGTTTCAGTACTATTACCTATTTTAGTTTCATTATTTTCATAGCTGTAATAGCAGGTTGCTGATTCTCACCCATCTGTCATTTCATAATTCATTGTTTTGAAAGAAACATTTACAATGATATACAGTATTGTAGTTTATAGTTTAGGATATATTATTAATTATAATTATTATTCGTTAGTACGGTTTAGCGAGCAATACCTTAAAATGACAACAACAACTTAAAAATATACAATGAATCATTATTTAAAGCAAGATTGAAAATTTTTAAATGCATATCTTATGTATTTCTTCAGTTTTTTAAAACACATAAATAGTCAGGATATCATCCTTTGGCACAGTGAAATCATATGCTTGATGTTTATTCTTACTGTCTTTATCATTATGTAGTTAGCGATCTTTTAAAAGCAACCGTGTTCACATAAAATTTAATAGACACAAATATTTCTCGTAAACAGACTTAGTGTTTCGGTTGTTCATTGTCAACAGCTTCGTAAATAACTATGATATTTACAGTCTTACAGTGAAATATTGATATCAAGTTGTATTCACTATTAACGTGGTAGGATCACGTTTTAAAAGATTGTATAAGAATAAGTAATAGACTCAATTAAGATTTAAAATGTTTATTTTTAAAAAGCGTTGATAATGTTGTGTTAGAATGATTTTAATATAAAGATATATAAGATATCTATAACAACGTTTTTAGCTGGAATTACGAGTGCAATAGATAAAACAATAAATCTGCTCATTAAATAATGAAGTAATAGTCGAATAATGTACACTTTTATTATTTAAAACCGTATACGTATACAATTATACACTTTTCATAATAATGTATTAATGTATTGTATTATTATAACCTTCCAATCGCTTATATAAAACTGTATTAGTATTCGAGGATAAATTTATAAAAGATTATAAGCTATATACAGTACAATTGCTACATAGGCAAAATATATCAAACGCAATGCACACAACAGAAATTTGCAATGTATTATAAATAAAGCTGTGTAGTTTTTACTTTCTTCCCCTATATGGCGAAGTATTATTTTCCTCAAAATTTAACAGTTTGAGTAGAAATTTTCTTTTCGAGTCCCCTTCAACCCAAAAAAGTGGTTGTACAAGTTCAATAAATTACGCAATCCTATGTTTTGTGCTGAAAGTGGTGTTTTATGTTTGGTTTTATCTTTGGGTGTTTTTAAAGGGGTGTGTACAGAGCTACAAAATATACCTGTGGCCTTTATTTGATGGAATTAGGTATGTATGTCCTTTTCTATGGTATCTCCAGGAGCTTTTTTGGTTTTTTTGGAGATTTTTATTTGAATGGCGATTGTCTTTTAAAACCCATCAAATATGCCTAACGTATATATCTTATATCTACGTATATATCTTACGTAGATACGTATATATCTTACGTTAACATCGGATTTTAACAAAACGACTCAATTTAGTTAGTTATAGTATTGTCCTTTTAACTCTAAACAAAATGGGAAGGCTCCCCCATGGGACAGTTATTCTCACTGTTTGCACTTAATGAGGGTTGTTGACACACTAATAGGAAAAAGTATAATGTACTATGTCAGATTGCTGATACCGATTATTTTATCTTAAAATTACAAGAAATGCTGCAATAACTCAATGAACTGGTTGCAATTTTATACAGGAATATAGTTATTAAAGTCAATTTGTTAAAATACATCCTACCCTGCCGCGTTAGTTAAAGTAAACAAAATAAAACTGAAAAAGTTACATGTGACATGTTACCAGTGTAAGGTTTGTGCGATTAATGATATTTTTTTTATTTTCTAAGTGCCTATTATTTAAATTCGCATTATTCAAAATTACAAAATGATTAATGTTTCTAGTGATATTGATGATTGCATTTGTGGATTCACCATTTTGTTTGAATGTAAAAATCTGTCTGAACGTCAACAAGATTTTCTGAGAAGATTTTTTAAGAAATCGAGAGTGAAGAGAATACATGACGTATTCATCAGAATAAAATGTTACCAGGGTGGTTGAGACGGTATTAGGTTTGAGATGGGATTCGGAGCGCATTGAGATGGAGGTTTCGTCTTCATCCGCTTGAGAAAGCAATAATTTGATTCAATTTTTTTAAGTTATTAGAGACGGAGGTTGGAAATTTCAAAATTTACATCAGTACTTAATACAGCGGTTTAACGTTTTTCTGGGTTTTAACACACTATATAAGCATACTTTAAATATATCTAAATAATTTCTTAAGACGAGAAGCGAAGCTTTTTGATATAGGCTTAGGAAAGGAATAAACGATAGAGCGAGACATAAAATGTCTTCGATCTTACACCTAATTTTGTCTTTATGACAGTTTAAAACAAGCATATTAAGTGAAATATATTTTAAGCAAATGTTAACCTACAATTTTTATCAATCAGTCTATATTAAATTCTCGCACAACTATGGCAGATCAGGTGTTTGGTAATTACTGCTTACGAATTCAAAATTAGAGGCAAGTTTCACTAATTCCACATATAAACAAGATTGGAGTATTTTTATAATGCTCCAGACTGTTGTTTTGACATTTGCTCTTTTCAATATGTGCAAAAGTGATAATATATTAGGGTATAAACAAACAACTGTCTTTATAATGGCGAATTAGATTAAGAATTAAATAATCAGGTTGTTATAAAGTTATTTCAAACAAAAATAAACAAGTATATTTTAACCAGGCTTTTTTACTGTTGCTCGTAAATATTTTTTTATACAGTACACTCCGCTTCAATTTTATCATATTTGCACAGATGTTAGAATCAACTATTCTTAGTGAATACTGGTGTTGTTATTGACTGTTTATAACCTAACTAAATATGTATGTGTATTCTTGTAAAATGATAAACATTTCTAATCAAGGTTCCCTAATATGCTGTGTATCATACAACATGGATATTGCTATTATGCACGTAGAGCACTTGGCATAGTGATAATCCAAATTTGTTTATGTATTCCCCATGTAAACCCAGGACGTATCTTGCAAGCTTAACAGTTGGTGTTGTGGGTTTCTAATCATGGAAATATCTGTATTTACTTCTGAGTAAGGCTTTGAGTTTCGAAAAATCATTTTAATAATTTATTTAGATATTCATTCATAATATATATTGCATTTTGTTTACTGAATATCGCCAATAAGTAGCACTAAGTTTTTAAATATGTTTACTTAACATTTTTTTATACTCTTCGATCGAATCTGCTTGATCTTTTCAATAAGCTATGCGGCTCCCTTTTGGAGTGTATCTCTTTATCAAATATAGTTGGATTGTGTTTGTTATTATCCTATTGTTCATTTTTTTCTCTTTCAGGTTCGTTGGCCTAGGCAATCCTTTTAAGAGAACTGAAAGAGTTGATAAGAACCGGATTTATGTAGGTAGACAGCACTGTCGTATGTTATAATGAAAATATATTTGTCTGGGAGGATGTCAAATATTTCCAAGCAAAATCCATTTAATGATAGGCATATATTATTATTGCGGTCACCTCTAGCTTTCTAATATGACTATGACGTGATTTTCTATATATTGATCACCACATATACCATTAGTCAACAGTAGAAAAAATTATGTTGAAGGTAGTCGAATTAAAAAAAAATAAATAATAAAAGTTGACGACGAAAAACACAGGATTCGTCAATGTACTGATAAAATTTTAAAAGCCAAGAAACTTGGAAAATCTGTTCTTATAAATATGAAAAAGATAGTGCAAGTAATTCATAAGTCTGAGCTTGAATTAGGTATTTACGTTAAGTTCCTCCTATATGGGTTGAGCTATTGATTAAATTTACATATTTCATATTAATTATTTACAAGCAAAAAAATGCTGTTTTTTATACCTCTTTATTATAACATTCAAATACGCCAACAGTTTGCTCAAATATGATATTATATGAGATGGAAATCTTCGTCTGATGACTATGATATAATGACTAGCCAAGTAAAGCTAGAAAAATATGGTTTTATGAAATGTTTTGCAAAGAGATTGTATCAAACTGCAGACAAATACTGTTTACAAAGTATACATTTATTACGGTATGTTTAAATACCATAAATACAATTAATTAATTCACTAAACGGAAACTAATCACGTCTTCTCCATAAAATATCATCTTACTGATGGTTATAAGTGAAGAGATGTGACGATCTTACCTTCGGTCTGTAGGTGTTCTCCTCGGAGGAGCTCTTGTGCCTGATCCTCAGCCGCTGCGGTACCCAGATGTTGAGGTAGAGACAGTCCTCACTGATGTTGGTATTCGGGTTCCACATCTCTTCTCCCTCGAACCCGGGGAAGTACTCGTACCTCTCCTGATAGCATGAGTTGGACAAGGAGGTGGCGTCGTATACTCCGTGCCACGGGTCCACGGGAACAGGTCTGCGAAACCTCAACGGCCCGATAGGAGGTTTGGCGAACGGTATACCGGTGAAGATGTGTACTTCTCGGCCGAGGACGGTTTTGCTGAGTCCGCGGACCAATCCGCTCGTCGTCTCTACGATAAGCGGGTCTCCGTGCTTGGTTGTACCTCCACTGGGAGTACTGGCTGAGCCGGTCGCGTCCGCAAACTGGGCGTGCGTGTTGTGCGAGCGGTCGTGCGACTTGTAGGCGTGTGCGTGGCCATGTTTGTGCTCGTTGAGGAAGCCGTGGTTGTGATCGTTGCTATGAAGTGTTCGCGGGGTGCTCGGTTGGGGCTGCGTCGCGACGGCTACTAACAGCGATAAAGACAACGTTGATAGCCTCATCCTAGCCATGTCACGCTATCAGCTACTTGATGTCGGGTGCCCTCGTGTCTCCGAACCTGCAGACAACCATACAAAGTGTTGAACAATACACAAGAGATTACAATATACAAGAGTCGTACCACAGACACATTACATGTAACTAGAGATAGCTAACTTTTAACTGATTGAGATAAAGTACTCGGGCAAATGGTACAATTTTCGCTAGGTTTTTGTAGATAAATGGTGGAGGATAACATACCATTCCACCACCATACCACCTTCCTATACTATGTCCTAGAAATGTTTGGACAGGACCACAAATAATAGATCAGCAAAAAGTCTAACTTCAACGTAATAGTACTGTTTATAAGCTATCATTACGTAAAGTGACTCTCTTCGACCCGAACTCAAGTTCCACTTTAAAATTAGCAAGGGTTGAAAATGTACTTTTTGCCAGTGTGACGAAACAGATTTTTCGCCATATTGGAACATTATTTAAAAACTTAGAATCCGAAAACACTTTTAATATAAAGACAATCCCTCAAAACAACTTCCATCTTGATTTCAATTTTGTTAATACATTACAAATAGGCAGCTATTTTGCAAGTGATTCAATCGTTTTGATTACGAGTATTATGGCTGTGTATTGTGTAAAGCCGGTTTTTCCTAGGTGCGGAAGTGGAGTCAGAAAAGAGATGACGGATGGATGAGATGATATGATGGTCCGCTCCGCTTCTAGGAAAAACGAGGAAAGCGGACTTCGCACTCCGCTTCTGCACCAAAAAAACAAAACAAAAACCGCTTAAATGCATATTATCCTATCGAATATTTCGAACTATTGACAAGAATGCAACAATGAGCTAGAACTGATGAATTCAATCGATATACAAGGTGGAACAAAGTTAGTGTTGAAACTTTTATGTGTTAAACTACTAGTATTAGTGTAAACCATCGATATGATGGGCATGACTCCCCCATGTGACATTTAATAGTGCTTAGTTTCCAGTGGTTCAATCATAATAGTGCTGTGTGGTTGGCTACACTGTCATTCTTTTTAGCAGAAAAATAAATCGTTCATATTTATATGCAACTCTACATTGATGAAGCCTTCCTTTTTGACTTATTAGCGAGTTTCCCTATAGGGAAGTAGCTATTATCATAGGTCTCATGGTAAGACTTGAGCCCAGGACCGATTTACTTTTTTTATTTAGGTGTCCCCAGAGACCAAAAACACTATTCGTTCAAATTTATATAGGCCTATGTACAGTATCTACAGGGTGAACAACTTAACTATGCCACCATTGGTACTATTAGATTTAGAGAGAACACTAAATTGGGAAGTTTAACACGCTGTAGCTCCTAAACCAGTACCGGTAGGTTTTGAGAGAAAATTCCAAGAGTAAAAAAGCCTTAAAAGTGCATCTAGAATCTAAAACTAGATTCTACAGCTACAATTAGATTAATTATTTGCAAATCTACACTAATTGGGCTTTTTAACAAACCATTAATTGACCAAATTGGTCCAGTAGAACTGTAGATTTAGTTGTACAAATTGTAACTATAATATCTCTAATTCAGTATTTTCTCACCACTATAAATTTGGAGGTTGCTTAGCTTTGTTGCAAATAACTATAAAATGGCGAGGAATTCGACCAGTGGAAGGTGATTTCTGAAAGAAAATAACATTCCCTACAAATTGCCATTATGTATTTCTTTAAAATACTCAATAAAGGCAGCCTAAAGTTGGCTACAAATAGAAACTTGTAAATAGAAATATGGAACAAATCAATTTTTAACGTATTCATAGTTTTTTTTTTCACCTTAAATATTTAATAAAGTCAAACTTTTATAATTATTTGTAAACCTACAGCAATTAGGCTTTCCAACGAACGACCCATTGATGAACACAATCGGTCCAGTAGAAGTCTAGATTTAGTCGTACGAAATTTAACAAAAATATCTATAATTCAGTACTTTTAACAACTATAAATTTGGAATCACTTAGCTTGTTTGTAAATAACCTTTAAACTGTTAGAAAATCGACCAAAGTGGATGTAATATTTTGAAAGAGAATAAAATTTCCTAAAGATTACTACTATGTATTTCTTGAAAATACTTAATAAAGGCAGTCAAAAATTTGTTATTGTTGTCTGTTTTTAAAGTATTTATGTTATTTTTACTCATTCACCACAAATATTCAATAAAATCACACATTTATAATTATTTGCAAATTTAAATTAAATAGGATTTCCATTGACCCATTAATTAACAAAATCGGCCCAGTAGAAGTCTAGATTAAGTTGTACAAGGTTTAACAAAAATATCTCTAAATAAGTATTTTCTCACTACTGTAAATTCGGAGGTTGCTTAGCTTTTTTGCAAATAACTTTTTAATAGTGAGGGAATCGACCAAAGTGGATTGTGATATTCTAAAGTATAAAGTTTCCTAAAAATTGATACTATGCATTTCTGGAAAATACTCAAAAAGGTAGCCAAAAGTTGCACCCAAATAACAAATTGTAAAACCACGCGTTTTCAATGTATTTCTTATGGAAAATATGTTTTTTTCCATATATCATAACAAAACTAAACGTTGATAATTATTTGCAAATCTTAACGAATTAAGCTTTCCAACGACCGGTTAGTTAATAAAATCGGTCCAGTAGAACTCTAGATTTAGTTGTCCAAAGATGTTTAAAACTGAATTAAAATAAGTAGATACTGTAACAATAATAGTACAGAGTCATTGAGATAAAGCATCTTTATAAGCCCTTATTCTGCATTGGAAGTTGGAATCGGTGATTTTTGAAAAAAATTCAATAACCTTTACGTTAGTTTTTCTATGCCACACTAGACTGTAGAAAGTGTCAAGTATTATTAAAAACGTCTTCAACTAATACCCTTTAAAATGATGTATAAAAACCTACTGTTTCTTTGATTTTTATTCTTAAATTTGACAGTTATTTCATGAAAACACGCAACGGCTAATATTAATTGTATGTGTGTGTGGTCTGGACCTAGCGTTAAAATTGTTTTCGGGTGGCAACACAAGTGTGACTCAAATCCACAATTTAAAAAAATATATTCCACACACCCACTTGCAGAAACATTATTTTGATTTTATTAGAAAAACCTGTACATTTACACCAAATTTTAAAATTTCTCTAGTATTTTCATACATTTTTATAACTTTGAAACTACCATCATATTCTCCATTAAATTCTATGTAAGAATAGACAGCTTTTGGTGAGCCCAAAGCTTCAGAATTGCTGTTTAATTTGATTATAAATAAGGAATTTTGATTTTCACAAAAAAAGGTTTAAAATAAGCCTACAGACACTTTTTTTAGAAAAATACTAGAGATTAGCAAATGGCTACAAAAACTGCTCTAAAATCTTAGCTTTTAAAAGATATGATGAGGCATTTAATTTGCTTCATTTTAAGTATAGCTATTCCAGTTGTAACTGTGGAAAACATGGTTTAAGGAAAACAAAAACACACTATAACGAGCAGTTTTTGTAGCCATTTGCTAATCTCTAGTATTTAAAAAAAAAAGTGTCTGCAGGCTTATTTTTAACCCTTTTTGTGAAAATCAAAATTTCTTATTTATAATCAATTTAAACAGCAATTCTGAAGCTTTGGGCTCACCAAAAGCTGTCTATTCTTACATAGAATTTAATGGAGAATATGATGGTAGTGTCAAAGTTATAAAAATGTATGAAAATACTAGAGGAATTTTAAAATTTGGTGTAAATGTACAGGTTTTTCTAGAAAAATCAAAATAATGTTTCTGCAAGTGGGTGTATGGAATATATATATATATTTTTTTTTTTGTGGATTTGAGTCACACTTGTGTTGCTCTACCACCCGAAAACAATTTTAACGCTAGGTCCAGACGCTAGCACAATAACTCGAGCAAGAATTGTCAAATTTGACGGAACTTGGAATAAACGGTAATCCTACATTTATTTGAACGAGCTAGTGAACCAGCATGATCAGACTATGGGAACGGGATTTTATGGGGTAAAGATTGGGGGTTCTCATCTTTCACCCTAAAAGCATAAAACATTGTAATTTATTTCCAAACAATTTTGTAGAGCTTCAAAAAACAAATATTTTAATACTCTGAAGCGTTTTTATGCGCCTAATGGTCAGAGAAAAAAATAATAAAAATGACATTTAAAATTCCCATGTTATTCTTTGTTTTTGTTTGCTTGTTTATGAACATGTTTTAAACAAATTTGGAAAATTTATTTATTTAATACTAAACTATTGACATATCACTAAAATACTAATTATCTTTCCTGTAGCATCAAAGCCATGTACTCGTTAAACTAATATTATTTAAAAAGGGAATAGCCATGGTATTGTTAAGGAGATATTTGAGTGAAAACCCAATTAGGCAAATGGAGATTCGCTAAGTCTGTAGGGTTGCTGTGGCGAGGGTTAAAAGCTCCCTTCATCTTCTATATTTTAAATTTTCTCTAATTTACACTGATAAGTTACATAGTTAATGTTTGCGATGTCTATAGAAGTACATTAAAGACTTGGAGCACTTGGACTGTACAACTACATATTATATTCCTTATCCTAACGATATTGACATAGTTTTAGTGCAACAATGGGTTCCCTAGAATAACAGCTAATTGAAGTATCTCTTTTGTTTCGGTCATTGTTGTGTCAGCCTATTGTTCATCTGCCAATTTTAACCACATCGTTGCCCTGTGATAATATTCCTCAATAAATATATTCATGTTCGGAGTTTTTTGTATCTTGAACGTTAAAATAGCATCACAGTTAATTAAAACAAACTGTAGCTAAAAGCTATTTTAATATTTGCCCCAAAAGTTTCATCTTACGATCAGTTTGTTTGTAATGGGTAATTGGTTTTGGATGGCACTTAGAAATTTAAAGTGTAAATAAACACACCCACTACAGTAAATCTGCAGACTAAGCGAATTTCCTTTTGCCTGATTCAATTTTCACTTAAACTTATTTAAATAACATTAAGTTTAACGAGTACCTAGGTTTTCTGCTACGGGGAGGGCAATAATGTGTGTAAATATTATAATGTGTG